AGTCAGTTCAGGGCCTTGAGAAAATACAAAAGCACGGGTATGTGGATGGAGGAAATCTGGGGAATTTTTGCTTACTTCATTCGGCCGCCCTTCAATGAATTGTACTACATCCAGGTGAAAAGTTAGGGGCTACCCTACCTCTTTAGGACATCGGCATTGTTCGGCCCGAGGTTACGCCGTGATCGGGAGTTCAGAGTTGGACTTTGGACCTATGACCGGGATTAAACGGCGATAAATAATGCCCTAGTTGGACGAGCTAAGTCACACACCTTTGACGGTTGATCCACCTCGAGGTACGCAACGATGAACTTCGTGTTTACTTACTTGCCTACCCGGTTCAAATACTTCACTTTTTGTATAGATCCTATTTCTCAAAACACAACATTAAGGTGCTCCGCGGTATTCGATCTCGTTGTACTCACAATTTGCAGATCTACAAGATTCCGTTCGAGCCCAGCCGTATATTTCATGAGTTCGTGCCGCGTCTGTCTCCTGAAATGAAGCTCGTACGAGCTAAGTCAACCACGATCGTGGTTGACTTTGTTCTCTACAGGTCGAATCTTTAGTGCTTTAGTTCCTTTGCACTCTGCAGCTGGACTGGTTTCACTTAGAATGAAGTCGTTCTCACGCCCTCTCTCCCACTGAGACTTTAGACTCAATAATGCCTCTGAACTTATCCTCAGCGCCGCTCTTTACCCAACTCACAGTTAAATCAGCACATACACTAGTGAGGAAAGCACTCATTCAATATTGGCGCTCCAGTACCTGGGTTGAATTTACTTCGAGGACTAGTTATAACGTTGAAGCAAGGTTACACATGTAAGGCTGTAACACTCAATTCCAAGTACCTGTGTGTGAGCTGATGAAGAATTCAAGAGAAGATTTTAAGTGCACTCCTCAGTACTTCAACAAGGATTCATTAGTGCGAGATGGAAGGGTAAATTTATTCAATGCTATTGAACCACGGCCCGTCAGATATCGTTGGAAATAGATACATAGACCGCCTGATTTGAATGATCAGGCCTCTCAGAAAGAGAAATGAGCTTTGCCTCAAGGTGTGGTGCTACTGGTGAACACTAGTGACTCAACGCTAACTGGAGGCGTTCAGCACAGATACAAATTTGATGGCGGCAAATGTCTCGACTTGAACACGCGCTACGGAGAAGACACTGGGGGGAGCCTTGATCGGGATGATCTTAGGCCTCAAAAGCGACGTCCTCACTCTTTTTCCAAAGCAGCTTTATGGCTACAAAAGGCACCCAAACTCGTGCAAAGCGATGAGTGGTATCAAAGTCTGATGATGTTCTGATGCTGTACCTCACTCGCTCGTTCTGGAGTCTACAACGACAAAGATCGGTCCTCCTTATGAGAAATGAATGCAGGACTATAACCCCATGATGAAGAAAATCACCGGATAAAAATTTTGTTGACCGATTCAACACAAATACACGTGATGCAATCAGAAATGGCAGTTGCGCGCCGACCTACCCTGGGCCCTGCACAAATGATGCCCACGCTAAAGGCACGGCAAGCTTGCCGTGCAAGGTGGCTCACCTGACAAAGTTCCTCATTTAGGATGCCGAATATGGTATCCGACGAGCTTACTTCGCATGCCGACGAACTTGCACAACTCCCGCTATCCTACGAAGTGATGAAGTATGTGAGGACTCGATCTCGAAGTTGGATGTCAGATCGTGGGGTTGAGCACAATCTGATATCCAACTTCCGAAGTTGGGCCAATTTGGGGTTCCCAACTTCGGCAAGTTGGACATCGAATTGGGACCCAAGTTGGGCCCCAAATCGGAATGTCTGAAACACCCTATTGTGTGCACCTGCCTTTCTTTATTTGCTGGTGATGAAAGCATATGTAGGCAGGAGGTCCCTGTTCGACTCGGGGTCGGGTGATGAATTGTTGCACTTGGTTTTTTTCTTTTTCTTTCTCTGTCTTTTCAAACCTTCCCCTTGTCTTCCTCATTCCTTTCAAACTAAATAATTACTCGCCTTACATGGGTGGAAGTACCGCTACGTTCATCTATGTTGACCGCTGAGTGCTAGGTGTGGTTGTTTTTTTGGGATTGTAAAAGTAAAGTGCAAGTTGGGCGGGACAGTGGTGTCTTTTTAACCACACCGTGCACTGGTTTTTTTTTTGTTCACACCTATCAGCCCTCAAAGCAGGTAGGAGGATACCTGGTACACCACCATTTGGATGAAATGTTTCGTGTACGTTTTGGCCACAATATTTATAGGCCATCAATCAACCATCATCGAATGTTGCCTAAACGTTGCCAGAACACAAATTGTCAAATCCCTCAAGGCTTCTCAAGTCGGCCATTTGGGCAACATTCCAGTCAACATATTCTCAACATTTCCAATATATTGAAGTAAGCTTAGACTCGGATTCGACCAAAATTTTCCTGGAAAATATATATTCAGTTCTGTGATACAGACAGACAGGCTATGCACGCTATGGACCGTAGGGAGATTGGGATACACAAACACAGGCTCTCGATCGAGGCACAGCAGGAGAAGGGGAGGGAGAAGGGAAGGAAACTGGGATGGAGGAGAGGAAAGCTTGAACAAAGGGACCGAAAATTTCGAAGTTCTCTCATTTCTCAGAATATTTCTGCGAGAAATAATCCCTCACAGTGGTTTTGAAGTCAGAGAATGCCACTAACCCACGGAGTTTAAATTCTTTGGCGCGAAATGGGCCTCATCCTGGGCACGATTTTTCATTCAAGAAAGATGCTCATGAGGTTGCCTTATGTGTGCCTACCATTCTGTCTCTTCAGAATTTTCAAGTATGGCCCAGAAGATGTTAAATCCCGCAGAGATGATTATATAATCATTGCCGCACGATTTTGCCAAAAGTCTGAACATACGGCGAATAAAAGTCTCAAAGTATTTAGAGATACTCTTTGGCGATAATAGTTCACTTCCCTTCATGTGATGCTGCAGATAAGCCTTAGGAATGTGCTCGCGCAACTTGCCGAAACATTTCAAAGTCCGCAATCATGTAATAAGGGAGCACTGCGATCGGACCGGCGCGGTAACCAACAGACTTCAACAAGCGAGGTACGAGCGTCATCGGTTGAAGTGTCTGTCTATGAGAGACTACTTTGAAGGTGGGGATATGGATTCTTAGCAAAGTCTAGGCTCTATGTCCAACCTGTTTTCCGGTAACAAAAGTTCATCTTGTATCGATAATTTTTCTTTCCTTTCCTTTTTGGCTAAGTCCTACAAAATGCCATGCAGATGGAATGCAAGCCCTCTCTGGGTCCTGCAGATTAATCACAACCCTTGTGTTAGGTTTGGCGACACAAATCAGCGTTGTGTTGCACTTACAAGGGTAGGTGATCCGGTGGCAATCACTCATCACCATTGCAGCCATCACCGGCGATCAGCGAGATCTCCCGCTTTTGGTGATGCTTAGCCTTTTTATTGTATTCAATTGCCTGCCGTTGCGACAAGTGAGTACTCAGAGTAAATAAATACAACACAATACACCCCATGTAATATACCTGTTCCCCGTGCTCTGTGCTCTGTCTGGTACGTCATTGGTCGGACCGTGACAGCACAGAAGAACAAGAGGCAGCTTGCATTGCTAAACACCCCATTATTCTGCTCACACCTACTCAGCATCCAAACAAAGCTGAGAACACCTGGTAGCATGTCATGAATCGTGGTTCTCACAACCCATTCATTTCTTTCCCTACGACCTCATTTTCCATACAATGACCGAACTCCAAAGGAACATCTCGAAATACTCCTAGATCCACGCGGCGACTACCCCAGGATATTCTTGAAACGACGGTGACCCCCATCGTCAGTTGACAACTGAACTAAAGCAACCACCCGGGATATTCAAGGATCGATGATCGGACATCCGACATCTGTCAAACCCTAAAAGCCAATACACCTTGGAGATATATTCGATCGCACTCCTGTGTGCCATACGTTGGCTCATCAAATGCCGATTGGTATTTCAGATGAAACCCTAGATACCTAATTACCGGAGGAGTATATATACTAGGTAGAATCTTCCTGTACTCTAGATTCTACCTCGTCTAATACCAGCTACACTTTGGCCTGGCAACAACGAAGTGTCTTCTCACTCCTGGGCTTCGGCTCTCCGCATACTATTGTTCATCCTCTCATCGGTGACCCCGCATGCGGGTTATCTGGGCGCGTACTATACCGCCTTCAGGTCTTTCTGGGCTCCCCCTTGAGCAGACATATGTTGTACTTCGCCCCTCTCAGTTGCTATTCGACTGTATCCCCTCCTCAGCATTCACCCCGGGTTCTAGTCGGGTTATTCGTACCAAGGTCTCGGCCGGGTTATTTCCATATCGACATCCCGTCAGGCCGACCTAGGGCTGTCGCTCACATAGCACATGGCGTGCATCTGACTTCTCTTCAGCCATCCTGAGGCAGCTTTGTAAGCAGGAGGTCCCTGTTCGACTCGGGATCGGGTGATAGACGTGATAAATAGTGACACATTTTTTCTCTCTTCTCTTTTCTTTCTATCTCTCGCCTATATTACAGCTTCTTGAGCTGCAGCATATTGAAATAGTGGTCTAATTATGGGGATGCGGACAATGCACTGGTTTTCCACCAGTTGGTGCGAGTTTGCTTTTCAACCAAACATTTGTTTTAATTTGCTTGCAGCTATGGATTCATTTTTGAAGTAGGAGGACACCTGGTAGCACATGGTGTGCACCTACCTTTCTTCACTGGGTGAAAAAATATGTTGGCAGGAGGCCCCCGTTCGACTCGGAGTCGGGTGATCGTCACAGCGAGTTGGAATCTTTTTCTCCCTAAGGAATTGATTCTTCTTTTCTCCGGGGAGCTGGTGTCTGTTTTATTGTTCACCTTCTGCAATTGCATCATGGGCAAACTTACAACAGAGGAATCTTCGGTCACAATGTGCGTAGTGTCTTCTCAACATTTTCTTTGCTCACCAGTTTTGACTCACCTTATTGAGATTTAAAATTGGGTAAGAACACCTGATAGCACATAGTGTGCACCTGCCTTTCCTGATTGTCTGCACAAACCTATGTAGGCAGGAGGTCCCCGTTCGATTCGGGGTCGGGTGATAATGGCTGTGGTCGGCTTTTTATTTTTATTTCTTTTCAACCCTTCCCTTGTCTTCTCACCTCTCTCAAAATAAATGATTGCTCACATTTTGCACCTTGCATGGATAGAAGTACCATGAGGTTCATCTATGCCGACCGCTGAGTGCTAGGTGTGTTTTTTATCTAGGGTCTAAGAATAAAGTGCTAGTTGGGCGGGACAGTGGTGTCTTTTCGACCACTTTCACCATTTTTTGAGTCACCCTCATTGAAGTAAAGTTCAAAACTGGGTAAGAACACCCGATGGCACATGGTGTGCACCTGCCTTTCCTAGCTCGGAGAAGATATGCCTATGTTGGCAGGAGGACCCCGTTCAACTCGGGTCGGGTTATGGGTCGGAGAAGGTGATTTCTTCTTTCTTTCCGGAGCCTTTGCTTCCCTTTTCTCACCATCGCCAAACTGTCATTTTCTCTTCTGTAAAATACAGTTTGTGCACATACACCTTTGTTTAAACTTTCGTGGGTTTTCAACCATGCTCACCATCTCTTGCTCACATTTTATTGAGGTTGGGAACAAAGGGAGGGAACACCTGATAGCACATGGTGTGCACCTGCCTTTCCTAGCTCGGAGAAGATATTTCCATTTGTAGGCAGGAGGTCCTCGTTCGACTCGGGGTCGGGTGATGAATTGTTGTGTTTGGCTTTTTCTTTCTATTTCTTTTCAAACCTTCCCCTTGTCTTCCTCATCTCTCTCAAAACTGAATAACTACTCACCTTGCATGGTGGAAGTACCACGAGGTTCATCTACGCTGACCGCAGAGCGTGGAGTGTTTTTTATTTAGGTGCAAGTTGGGATGAAATTAGCGAGCGGGCGGGATGGTGTCTTTTCAAGCACACCTTGCACTGTTTTTTGTTCACACCTATCAGACTTCAAAGCAGGTAGGAGGACACCCGATGGCACATGGCGTGCACCTGCCCTCCTTTGCGGCCTAAAGTGTGTGTAGGCAGGAGGTCCCCGTTTGACTCGGGGTCAGGTTATGAAAAGTGATTTCTCTTTTTCCGCTCCAACTACTCTGATTGATCCTTTCTGGGGAGCTGGTTTCTTTTCTTGCCATTGGCAAATTTTTCTCTTCTGTAAAATACAGTGTAGTGCATGTGTCTTTGTTCAAGACTTGTGTGATGTCTTTCTAACTTGGCTGCTCAATTTCTGCTTACACCTATTAGACTTCAAAGCATGTAGGAGGACACCTGATGGCACATGGTGTGCACCTGCCCTCCTTTACGGCCCAAAGCGTGTCTAGGCAGGAGGTCCCCGTTCGATTCGGGGTCGGGTGATGTTGCATGTTGCCTGAGCCTTTTTATTTTATTTTATTTTATTCAATTGCCTGCCGTTGCAACAGACTAAGTAAATACAATACAATGCACAGTACACAATATACCCCGTGCTCTGTGCTCCGTCTAGCGCGGCATTGGTCGGACATTGATAGTTCAGAAGAACAAGAGGCAGCTTGCATTGCTATTTTTTGCTCACACCTACTCAGTCTCCAAACAAATCTGAGAACACCCGATGGCACATGGTGTGCACCTGCCTTTCTTCAGTCTCTAATTATCAAAGGATATGTACGCAAGAGGGTCCCTGTTTGCTTCGGGGTCGGGTGATGTAGTACACCGTAATTGGCAGTTTTTTTTTATCCTTCAAACTTTCTGCTCGTCTTTCTCATAATAATTGCTTGCCTTGCATGGTTAGAAGCACCGCTAGGTTCATCTATGTTGACCGCTGAGTGCGGAGTGTCCTTTTTATTTAGGATCATGAGAATAAAGTGTAGTTGGGATGAAAATTAGCCCGGGGTAGGTGGTGTCTTTTCATGATCAACCACAGCTTGCACTGTTTTTTTTTGTTGCTCACACCTATCAGACTTCAATGCAGGTAGGAGGACACCTGGTAGCACATGCATCAGCAAACCCTGGGTGTGCTACGTAGAGCTATGTAGTTCCCATAGTTGCCATAGCTCCTGTAGTTTCCATAGCAAGGGTACCCTCTACATAGTTCTCTATAGTTTGGAGGGTGTACTACATAGTTCTCCATAGTTTGGAGGGAGCACTACATAGTTCTATGTAGTTTCCTATAATTCAGACGCTCAGATTAAGAAAAGCATCACTTGGGATACATTCAATGCTATTGGAGTCCATCTGAACGGTTACTTACCAGTGTAGTACACTACATTATATTATATGAGGTATTTATTTGAAGCGACGGTAATTAAATAAAGTGTGTTTCCTACGGGGATCGAACTAGCGACCTCGCGGATTTCGACCAAAATTCACATGTTAGTGCATTACCAACTAAGCCATGAGTTCATTGTCTAGGTAGCATCCCAATAGGATAGGTATGACCCCTCTGATCCCAACCCAATGTGCCTTCAGGTTGGCTTCTCGTCCAACCTCTTTGCTACTACCCGCGATTTAGAGGTGTATAAAACATGTTAACATGCTTGAGGGATCTCAAACCTAGGATGGGTCTAAAATATTTACAGGTCTAAAAATAGACCCGAAACCAAACTTGTAGAGCTCGAAAAGGGCTACAAGAGTTGTCTGAAGTGATTTCCCTTAAACAGCTTAGTTAAGGTAGAAAACGCAAAATACATTCCCAGAGCCAGCGGTTTGAAAATTTAAAATTACTTTCGGCCACTGTAGAGGACAAATGTTGAATACCACTTTTGTTCAATATAGCTGCTCGTTCATAACGAGGTTACAAAGCCTGAAACTGAAGGGTATTTATTTACCTGAACTATATGGCAATATGTAGAGTGCCCAAAAACTATGCAGAACTACATAGTGAGACTGCCAAACTACAGAGCACTACATAGTTGGGCCCAAAGCTATGGAAACTATGGCCAACTACAGCAACTACAGCAACTACAGCAAAACCCAGGGTTTGCTGATGGACGAACAAACCGACTCTGTTGACGAGTTAATAGAGAATTCCTCTTCAGAATCCGAAACCGTGATGAGATGAATTGGCAAGCTAAACCTGCGACGGAATAAAGGCCGTCCTCGCTGATGCGTAAGGGTGTAATTTCCAATTCGGGCTATAGGCGCTGCCGAGCGTGAAGGAGAAGGCGAGGGTGAATGTAACAAATCACTCGGGGTCGGTGTCAACCGCGGGGTGCGAGGTGGAAAATAGCTATTCCCAGACTCCGATGGGCGAGACCACCTCATATGAGTGACCTTTTGCAAAATGTACTGGCCTTGACCACATGCCGTTTTGCAAAAACTCCTGGCCACCCCAAAAGGGTAGGTAGGGGTTCTGTTTGGCGCAGGGGATGATCCCCGGCACCTCGGCATCACTCCTCTACACCACAAGCATGAATCCTGCCGCATCCGCCGCCTCTACATCAATCATATCAATGTGCCGGTGCTCGGCACCGTTCCGAATCACGCGGAGACTCCCCAATCCGGACGGTCGACCCAAAATCATTGCGAAAAGAATGAAATAAAATGCTCAGGTGATCCGTATAGTACGGATAACACTCCCGATGCGTCAAAACGTCAGAACTCGATTTAAATCACGGAAAACATACCCAATCGGGAACTGTCCCAAAAAAGAAACAGAAAAGCGATCCAAATATTCATTTCAACGAAGGATGGGCACCCCACCGGCGTTCACAGCCCCTAAACACGTAGCTATAGCCTAAAAACGTACAAAACGAATTGAAATGGAAAACAGAGGGCCTGAAAAACACAAAAAGAATAATTAATTCAATCGTCCTCATCCTCACCACCCATGAAGAACTCCTTGTCGCTGTTGGCGCCAAAGAGGTCCTCGTCGCTCTCCTCCCCCTCGGCGTCATCGCCAGCACCGTCCCCCCGCTCCTCCACGCCGTCATCCGCCGCCGCCGGCTCTTCCCCCTCCGCCGCCGCCGGTACCCGTTTCTTGCCCCTTCCACGACGCACCTCAGTCATTGTAACCACCGCTCGCGCTGCAATATCACGGTACATGGCCGCCTGCTTCAGGCCGTAGGCCACCGCCCCCTCCGCATACCCCTCCTCCACCTCCCCCACACGTATTGCGCAGATGCACGCCTCCCAGCGCTGCGCCTCGTACTCAAACGAGACCAGTATCCGCCTGTACTCCTCCTGCAACAGGCGCACCTCCTCCTTCCACCGCCTACTCCGCGCGTAGGTCTTCGCCCACTCAATGCGCAGCGCCTCCTCAATCTCCGCATCCGACCCCGTCGCCCCCGCAACCGTCCATATCCAGGACAAAACCCGGTGATTTTCCGGTGCTGGCGCCGCGGTATCATCGCCCTCTCCATCCTCCCCCTCCTCCTCGTCATCATCCGGCTCAACCACCTCGCCCTCAGCGATCAGCTGGCGCTCCTTCGCCCTCCTCCTCGCGTCCTGCGTCTTCCGGCGCTCGTCACGCTTCCTCAAATCCTCGGCGTCCTCCATCAGTCGGATGTCGCCTTGGGCGAGCTTCCTCCACCCCACCTTCGACGCGTCCCCCCCGCTTAGCGCCCGAATTGCCCCCCAGGCCGTCTGGTATTTCTCTGAATGCAGCCGGATCTTGCTTTCGTTGCGTGCGACGAGCGTGCGAGAGCGCGTGTTTGCGCCTTGGTGGCGCGAATTCTTTTTCTTGTAGGTGATGAATCGTGATTTGATGTGCAGCTGCCGTCGCAGGCGGAGGAGGGCGGCTCCGCATTGGCCGTCGCGCGCCACGGCCTCGGTGTACTCTACCCCGGCCATACACCCCTTCTTGCGCTCCTCCGCCGTCAGCGCGGACGGAAGTACCAGGGGCGTCCGCTCTGGTGTTTCCTCCGGGTCCGCCGGGCGTCGAGCCAAAACTTGGAGCGCTCCAGGCGTATACGTCGCCTGTAGCTTCCGGAAGCGCACAATGCCGCGGGTCAGCTTCCTGCACATAGCGACGATGTCCAACTTCTGGGCCGTCGTCTGCGCCTTCTTGAGCTCGATGCTCACACGGACGCGTCGCCTAGATAGATTTATGAGATATTAGCAAAAAGCCTGCAGTGAAAATAAACACGCACTGCTCCTCCTCCAAGTCCAGCCCTGCGTAGATGAAGCCGGTGGGGCTCACGTCGTGCAGCGAGGTTTGTCCACGGAGGGCCTCTTCTTCGGCCAGTTTCAAGCGCACGTCGGCCTCCGTCATCCCTGCGAAACGTCAGCGCTATACTTCGGCCGAACCCCAAAGCGTACTCACCCTTCTCCGTCGATTCATAGGGATTTGGTGCCACGGGATTGGCCTCGAATGCATGCACCATCGCGCGCCAACCTTCCACGCGCTCCCCCTGCTCCGCGCTAAACGCTTCGAAGGCCTCCGCCTGCTCGCGCTCCTCGACTTTCGCCTTATCCAGCCGACGACGCAGCAAATCCGCTACGCGGCGTCAGTACCCCATAACACAATAAAAGTACAATGAAAGTAAACACACCGATGCCAATGAGCTTTATCCAATTCCAAAAGCTTAAATGTGAGTCGAGCGTGTCGCGGCGCGACCCAGGCCCCATCTCCCGGGTGCTGGTTGCGACACCGCCGAGATTCGCCCACGGCCGCTCAATACCCTCGCCGTCAGTCTGCCCCGCGCCCACGAGGAAGTTGAGGGAGAATAACAGCTGGCAGGCCAGCGTATGCGAATGAATGTGCATTTTCGGGATGACAAACCGAAAAACATTCATTACAATCAAGAAGCGCACAGCCGGTGGCATTTTCACCAGCCGCTCGAACAACTTCACGAACCACTGACATATGATGTCGTAGGAGATGACCTTGGGCTGGCGAGCGTTCTTCCAGCGCATAATCGCGCCGAAGATCCAATCCATATTCGAATATCTAAGCCAAAAAATCATCCGTTAGTATCAGACGCCGTGGACCGGACGCGTCGCACACGCACCGCTCGCCCTTCTGCAGATCACCGACGCCAGTCGGCTGCACGAACTCATGCCGCGCACAAACACCCATGCCCACCCCGGTCGTGCTGTAACCCCTCGAAAACTTTGTGTTGGCGTAGTCCAAGGCGGCCAAGCCACTACACGTACTCATCTACGCGCCAGAGTCAGTCCTCCGCGCCCCATTAAGCCCGATCGGCCTTACCTCGGTCTCATTCGTCGTCGTGAGCAGGTACTCCCGGTACGGCTCCTGCTCCACAAAGTACGCCCACCCCGTCCCAAGACCGGGATCGCGCAGCTCGCTGGAGACCAGGCGCCTCTTGAGGCGAAAGCAGGCATCGAGGGCGATAAATAAGCAGTAAAGAAACCTGGCAGCGCGCCTCAGAAATCTGCCGCGCAAGATTACAAAGAGGCTCACCTATCCTCGGGTGCAG